AAAAGCATGCTGTAAACGCTAAACCTAAACCTAACCCTGAACCTAACCCTAACCCTAACCCTAACCCTAACCCTGAACCTAACCCTAACCCTAACCCTAACCCTAACCCTAACCCTAACCCTAAACCTAACCCTAAACCTAACCCTAAACCTAACCCTGAACCTAATCTTGAACCTAACCCTGAACCTAACCCTTACCTTAACTTAAATCGCCCTTTTGTGGGCGCGGTTTTGTTGACGCGTTGTTGTGGGCGCGTTTACGACGTCATGGTTTTCTCACCACAGTTTTGTCGGCGCGCTTTTGCCGTGTGCGCATTTGTCGGGTCACGCTTACTTCTGCTTTGGACATGCCGGTCTTGAGCTTAAACATTGTAATAGGAACTCTATTTGGATCTGCAAATATGGCCCTTAAACATTTGATTTTCTGATTGCAGGAGATAATTAATATTACATAATTAATATCTGATTTTCTCTCTTACAGATATTCCGGAAATCCCTGAAAGCATCTCATTTTGCAAATCATTACAGATAGCAGACTTCAGTGGAAACCCTCTTACAAGGTAATCTTTGTAATTTATGGAATCCTTTTCCAAAACTTACTAAAAGTGTAAAATTGTCTTTTTCAGTTTTTTTTTAATATCTTCTTCAAATAATAGATTTGATTCTACTAAAGAAAAGTTGGTGTTTAAAATGAAGTTGCTGTTGCCCCAAGAAAAATTTAATGGTATTCAGACGTGTTAAAAATCATGATGGTACTAAACTCATCAACAAAAGGAAAACATGAATTAAGGGATCGATATAACCTCAACTTTGATAAGCATAGCAATAAAGAAAAAAAGGGGGGAAATTCAGATCTGAGGACACCTATGACTTACAAATAGATACCTGTGATCTCCAGTTGCTGGTTGGAACTCACCAATGATATAGAATCTGGAAAAATTCTTAAGCAGCTTCAAACGTCGTAGGGAAGCTGATAGATGTTTCAGGACTATTATTTAATATCTGATTAGCACATGTATATAATTGTACTTCTGGGGAATACTTCTGAGCAAAAGATAATAAGATGCCTTAGTATTTAATGATTAGTTTGACCATTTAGTTTCCAAAAAAGCAAACAATAGCAATAGCAGTTAGACTTATATACCGCTTCATAGGGCTTTCAGCCCTCTCTAAGTGGTTTACAGAGTCAGCATATCGCCCCCACAGTCTGGGTCCTCACCCACCTCGGAAGGATGGAAGGCTGAGTCAACCTTGAGCCGGTGAGATTAGAACCGCTGAACTTCAGATAACAGTCACCTAACCACTGTGC